AAAATGGAAGAAGTAAATGATTTTGTTTTCCCCCTTTGTGTTTACAAAGCTTAGTTTTCTGATGGAAAGACAGATGGTAAAACACCAACATACCTTTAAAAATGTTAGAATGCAACAGGTAGTAGATCAACTATACCCATGTGGGTACCTGCTATTTGAGTTTGTTAAGAAAGATTTCCCTTGTGGCAGGATGTACAGCCACTGATATCTAAGTGTTTTCTAAGGACCTTGCCAAAGAGAACAAAACACACAACCCTCACCTACCCCTACAAAACCTTCTGTAATACACCCCTCTTAAGGAAGAAGCCCCGCAGCCCACCTGAAGGCTAGTTCCTCCTGGCTCCATTTGATTAAAAAGCTCCATCCCCCCATAACTACCCTGTTTCAGCCATCAGCAACCAGCCCCCATACTTCACCGACAACTCCTGTACCTGATGAAGCCACCTTTGGTAATCAGTGGCACAGATACGATTAACCTACTAAATCCAGGCTCGCAGTCTTAATCCTGGAATGAGGTTTTCACTACTAACCTCACCAGGAAGACCAAATCAAATGACATGACTAGAAGTGTTAGCCTTGAGCCAAGTCCAGAGATACAGGGGGAGCACACCTTGCATAGGGTGTGTTGGCTGCTGCTCCCCCAGGCAAGGGGAGATACCCTTCCTCAGGAGGTATCACTCTTGACACCTTGTGGGAGCACTAAAACTAACTATTAAATGCAGTTTTCATGAAACACAGATTAAAGAAAAGGGCTTCTTTCACAGGGGAGTCATTTGGACTCTCCTCTGAGGGAGGAGTGCTATGCAAATAGGTATACCTCTGAACATTTGCTACACAGTTTCCCTTCAAAATCAATGCAAACCTAGTGTTACATTAGTCCATTTGGAAGTCAAAAAACTTCTCAGGAATTGTGACTTGCGATTAATCTACATATAACTTGTATTTTATACATACTATTCTCCAAGACATCATGTTTCAGACATTGCCCATCCACATCCACAGGCCTGCAGCAGAGGAAATGTACAGCTGATATCTTAACACATATTTCCTTTACATCCCACACCTCTGCCTGCCTCTGAGGAGCAAAGATTGGCTCCTCCACAGTTCCAGAGTCTCAGGAAACATTTATCTTGGTGCTAAAGCATGAGAGGAACCTCAACAGAAATGGGTGGCTGAGCTGCAGGGAGTGAATGCCATTTCTGCACTGCAGAAACACAGTAAAGCAGGCACTATGAGAAAGGGCTCGAGTGGAAAAGTTTTTTCTATTTGAGTTGGTATGAAATATAGGAAACTGTCTCCCAAGCTTAAATTGTCATTTGGCAATATACATAGAACCTGGCTAAGAAATTATTTTTCTTGAAAAACCTGATGATTTGTAGTGGAATGCTCTCTTCATAAATGGACTTCTTATTATTGTGGGGTTCTCTTCCAAATATGCAATAGAAGAGCGAATGGTAAACATGTACGAACACTGTTCCTCATTTCCTTTTAGGCCCTTAATCAAGAAATATGAAAGTCAACGTTGGTATTGCTGGGGATTAATGGCTGCTGCTCAGAAAGTGTACAGGGAATATTCTCCTGCCAGGACAAACACATGGGCTGTTGGGCAAAAATCTGTGAACCACAGATAGCAGTGTATCATCATTGTAAAGATGCACACTGCTTGTGTTGCATTGTAATTAATAACATCTTGGTTTGACTGAAATCACTGTAAATACCAGATGAATTAATACTGTGCCTTCATGGTTGAATTTATTCTACCTGTGTTTGAAGTTTTAAAATCAGTTTTGCAGTATTTAAAAATTGGATATTTTTTTTCCAGGTGTAGGAAGAAGTCCTTAATGGATTTTTTCACTCTGTGTATTCAATATGTGTTTAAAGACCATGTAACCACTGCTTGTTACATGACCAGTGAGATCTCACAAGAGAAAACACTCTACTGAGCTGTCACCAGTTCATTTGTTTCTCACTCTCCTTCAGAGAGGTTGCACTTAAGAACTCTCCTGCCATGTTTATGGGGATACTTTTTCACCACCGCAGCTTCAGTTGACTTTTTGTCCCCTTTTGTTTTCTTATAAAATAAGGCCTAGGCTACGGTGACCTCAGCCGTTCATGAAAACCTTTCCTTCTCTATGTTCTGTAAGTGCACAGGGGCCAGCCAGGAAACCTGATGACAGGCGAAGCTGTGGCCAACTTGGCCCTAGAAGTTACAGCATAGGCAACCTACCTAGGGTCATTATAATTTTTTTTAAAAAAAAAAAGAAAGAAAAAAAAGGAAGACATAGATTGCTAGGGCATGTCTCCACAGTTTACTGGCACATTCACCTTCAAAATGAAGAGCTGGGAGGCCAGGTCCCAAAATAAAGACTCAAATCTGATACCAACAGCATCCAGACATGACATGGATCTATGTTTGCTATATTGTTAGATTATATGAATAGTAAATTAAGCACATGAAGCATATGTACACGTTACCAGTTTACTCTGCTAACCCTCTGACTGGTCATGACCAGATTACTGGCTCACTCTTTGGGCTTTACAAGGCAGTGTCACTCTGCTCTGTATTCAGCAGTGCAGATATAAAATCTGTTCTGTTCATGGCCACTGAATGAGCATCTTATCCCATTTTTTTCTTCAAAAATATTTGATCTCCCTACAGGTATAGCCTGCTGTTGTCCTCATAATGAAACCTTTTTATATATGCCTATACAGTATTTGCTTTGCCAGTATGGAAATGGCTTCAAAAATAAACCCACAATCTGATTTGTCAGTCTAACAAAACGCCAGCCCACCACTAGAAATGTCTGAACAGATCTGAAAATGAAAAGCCATGAAATGACTCAGTGGATTAGGTCACTGTGACAGCCAGGAGGTAATATCAGAGTATTTACTTTGGCTGGAGTCTTCCTTGGCTCATCTTCATTTGCAGTGTCAAAGCCAGGCTCTGATCTCAAGCCAAAGTACTGTAGTTTGCCCACTTCAGTAACGGTTTAACATAGGCACCAGGTAAATAACTAACTACAATGGGGGTTTTGAAATGAAATGTAAAACTCCTATGGATTAAAAAGAGTAATGATTTTCTTCCCTGCCTGGCAGCAAGGAGCAGAACAGAGGCACTCTGTGGCTACCAGTGTGACTGTCCTCACAATCTTCTCATGATACCAGGAAGCTTTAGCAGTGCCTAACACCTCTGTGGGGTCTCTAAGTACGAATATCCCTAAAAGTATTGTCCAGGGCAATGGGAGTATCATCTCAGTGAGGATTTTCACCCCATAATATAGCGCAGATGGGAGCTATTCCCAGCATCCCCATAGGGATAATGAGAACATGTGCAGTCCTTTAAAAGGTTGTGTAACTCCCCCAAAAAGTAAAAGGTGAAGAGAGCCACATTTCCATGTATTGAAGAGAAGAATTGCTTAGAGATAAGAATAAAGACCACATTTATTGCCACCCAGGAAACATTAGTGACTTTCTTCACCTCCCCTTTCCAAACCACAAAGGTGACTTCAAGGTAAATCTAAACAACGTGAGCATGATACACTTCTAATGATGTTTGGCTCTGTTCACCACTGAAGCTGCATGCTAGCTCCATTTTTTAGGAAATGACATAGACAAGTTTTTGTATGAAGTAGAATGTAATGCTATAAATATGGATACTGTTCTGCAATTATAAATGGTTTTTCCTTTGCAAAATCACATTCAGCATATTTCTTCCCCTTTTCTCTGATTTTTCACTGCAAAATGACTGATCTCTGTCTTTGTGACAAACTTACTTTGTTTGAATGCATATATCCCAAAACTTGGAAGGACTTTCTGACAAACTGAAGGTGAACTATGTACAGGAAGAGTGATACTTAAGAAGATGAAATCTCAGCATTCTGGTAATGGTGCAGCTCAAGTGACTCATAAACCAAAGAAATTAACCAACCATTTCCAAAACAATCACTTCTCTTAATCAGATAAGATGGTAAAAAGTCCAAAATTAAAGTAAAAATGTTATGAATGTGGGTTTCAGGGAAAAAGTAAAGCCTTATATGAAATGCTGAATAATTGCGGTTAACTAGAATAAAGGGATTGAGATGTAAAATGTTTTTACACAGATTGGCCATTTTTTTCCTGCTTATCCATGAATTCAGTGAAAAATATCATTAAAAGGCAAACAGAAGAGTATATAAATGTGACAAGCACTCCTACCACAAAAGGGGATAGGTTTTGAAAAGGCAGAAGTCTTCATATTGACTTTTTGGAATACTATGTTTCAGCTCTTTATTTTCAAATTGCATTTTCCCTGAAGGCTGAGACTCCTGAGAGATCAGTGATTTATTAGGAATTAAGAGAACCCTCAAAAATGGATGGAAATTTGGGGGGATGTGACTTAAGCACAAAATCGGGCTGTCTACCAAGGACTTACTCCTGGGCTGAATAAACATGCAGATTAGGACAACTGAGAAAACTTTCAAGTGAGCATTACTTCAAGAAATAAACCTAATGGGCCTTTGCGAGGGAGTGAATGTGCACTGTGCTGGAGGCCAGGTGGGACAGGCAGAGCTTTGGCTGAGCCTTGACAACATCTGAATGTACAGAAGGTCAAGAGGCTATCTCAAGTCCTTTTTTTCAATATTACTGAATTGAAAATTTGTCCTTTGAATATTTGAATCAAAGATTATCATTACACTCACTATATTTGCTTGCCTTTTTCTGAACTGATTCCCCTGCGGTTGTTTTCTGCCTCCTTTTAAGTGTTCAAGACCTTCAGATCCCCCTTTCCTCATCATTTGTGACAAGTGTTTATAATTTCTCTTGCTTTGGTAACTGCAGATAGAGAGGGTAAATAAAACAGTACTCAAGACTATAACTAACCTGCTAAACACCAGCTAGCACTGCTCTCTCCTTATGTTCCTTTGCCTTGAATTTGCATCACTGTTAGCTGAGCCCCGTGCATCTTGGATAAACTAAAAATAGATACGTAGAAAATACAGTAAAGAAGATGTTTAATTTACCTGCAGTTCTCCTTCCATTATACTCAGGAGTTTTATCAAGTCCTCTTTAGAAAACTCTATGGACTTCTTCTTCTTTCGTTCAGTAGGTCCGGGTGATTTTGAGTGCCGCCTGACAGTTGCTGAAACCATGACCTCATCTTCTTTCTGATGAGGTTTGTTCTTTTTCTTGGCATCCTCCTGAAGTCTTTCATTCTCTGCATGGCTGATGGCAGGCTTGGAACTGGAGAAGTGCCCATTAGACGAGCTTTCTCCACCTTGGTTTCGGGATCTCATCCTTACCTAGAAAGAAACAAGCATAAAGATGCATTTATAAACAAAATTACTTACAAGAAGCCACAGTGGAAATACTGCCCTTTGGAAGAACAAAATCTTCTAAACACTGAAAAACACTGTTATGCTCAAGAGACGCTCAAGGCTCAACCATTTCAACAACTCTGTGTGTGGCAGACAGTGTGTCCAAGGCATGAATTATAAATGTAATAGAATTCTAAACTAAGGGCAACCATCTTCCTCAGCATGCAAAGATGCTGGTATGAATTCAACTGTATGGAACTTAAAAGTGATGCAGGAAACTTGAACATTTTCCAGTGTTCACTTACTTTCCTTCCGTCAACATTTTGATCATTCACAATTCATCACTACAAAACAAAGTAGGTTGTTAAGTAGATCTCAGTTTAATGTAAGTTTTACCTGATAGACAGGGATGCAATTAAATTTTAGAAAAGTATATACCTTGAGCATAAATTCTCTATGAGAGTGGAGTGACAATGCATGACAAACAAAGGTCACTTTATAGTTTCTCTGAGTGAAGCAACGGTTTTATGCCAGGTAACCAAGAAGAACAGGGAATGTAGCCTAAATCAAATGATAAACTCCATCTTAAGTTAAATACTGCATGAGATTATTAGACAGTAAGTGCCATAAAGGAAAGTTGAAAAGGAGTTTGAAAAAAGACAACAGAGAGCACAAAACCACTAAGAGGTAAACATGTAAGATCAATGCAGTCCTTCTGGAAGATTCAAGGTTTCTCCAAAATGTCAAGCCATGGTTAGATGAACATTCACATCTCTGCCCTCTGAAACACCTACACTGCACTATTAGACTATGTCTATCCTAGGAAATTAAACAGTGGTAACAAATGTTCCTGAGTTCTGGCACTTGACCTACTGTATTGCTAAACTGTTAGCACACTCCTTGGCACACTTCAGGTCCAGGCAAATCGCCACTCTGCCAGCTAGTTCCTGGGCACAATTCAGGAATTAACCCAGGCCAACTCCAGATGAAGCCACCCTGTTCTGGAAGAGGAAAGAGTTTATTAGACTGAGCATGGCTGGACTATGTTGTTTGACCCCAGAAACAGAATTGGTCCCCTGTGCCTGTTTAGTTTACAAATAACAGCCTTGGTGCCACACAAAACATAGCTGTGAAAATCATCCTGTGTATTATCCTCACCAAACAAGTCTTCTCTGATTCTCTCTGTTGAATACTATTCAGCAATATCAGATTAAACTACTTGCCCTTCTCTTCAAATCTTTTCACAGTTCTTCTCTTTCTTACCCATTAGCCCTTTTCAGGTTGTTATCCACACCATGTATTTGACTAGGATTAATTTAATCTGGCTGTCTGTCATCTTCTCCTATGAACATCTCTCTCCTTTCTTCCCCCTTGACCCTGAAAATTGTCCAGGGAGGTTTGCTAGCCCTTAAAACGCCATTTACCCTGTAAGGGCTCATCCTGTGGCACGGACTAACAATGGCACAGAAGACAGGGTAGGTTCATCAGTGTGTATTTCATTACTTATCATTATTAAACAGATTTGCATAGGTTTCCAGGCATGTTTATATATGGACCCATGTTGCTATCCTGTCACCTTCCTATGTTGTGCTGGAGTAGGTCTTTGTAATTATTTTCACTGCTTAACCGTGGAAGACAAGATCAATAATAATCAAGATTATTTGTCATACACAACACAACAGCAATAGTCAGCTTAGGCTTGTTTTAGGGGCATATTCAGATGTAAAAAGTCAGTCCACTAAAAATTAGACATTCCTACCTGAAATTGCTTGTAAAACAGACAAAGAAAACCATCAGAAATTTATGTCACCTTAGTTCAGTTAACTTTTGTATGTGGTCATATTTTCTGGTACCTTAATTTTTTACTTAAATACAATTTACCCAAGGTAGTCTAAGAACACTAGAAAGCAAGTTCTGCACAAGTATCTTGCTTTAGATAACTACATCTTTAACAAGCACACTGAAGAATGTTAAAGAAGGGTCTGTATGTCTGAAACTTCTGCAGTTTTTGTATCGTTAGATCTAATGAATAATATCCCACTGCTTCCAAATGTTTCCTCTCACTTAAATTCATCACTGGATTTAGTTTGCAGCTTGTTCATTAGTCAAACAGATGCTTCTCAGCATTGCTAACATTACACACTTTTCTGATAAGGATCTCAGAGCAACAATTCACTAGTGATGGGGAAAAATCTGAAATACATTGACTAATCAGCTTGGCTAATGTTACGCTGAGCCTGCTACGTCTTGCTACTTACTTGACTCAGGCCAGTGTTATAAATCCCTTGCTCACATTAACCTTGTA